ACACACACACACACACATAGGCCTACACACACACGAGAATATTATAATTTGCTTCTTCGTAGTCGTAATTATTTTTTGAAATATTGATTCATTACTCCTTAAAAATGTATAATATTCCATAGAAATAAACAGAAAGCTGCAGCTACCCTTTCAAATAGTATAACCTTGAAATCTCCTTTGTTTAAAATTGTTTTTATTTTTTAAAATTTACTTTTTTGTGTGTTTCCTTTTTTCAATCCAGGTGTGATACCCGGTTATCTGATGAACCGGTTTGGAGCCCGGTTCACGGTGCTCTTGGGCACGTTCCTGGCCACCACTGGCTGCTTCCTCAGTGCGTTTGCCACCAGCGTACCCTACCTCATCGCTTCCACTGGGGTGCTATCTGGTCAGTATTGTTTGCTGTTTCAGATGGGTTTTAGTTTAGTTTTAGTAATTACAGTTTTACGGTGTGGGTGGCTGGCGGGTGCTGCGGTGTGGTTTGATTCTTCTTTCCTATGAAACATCTATCGTCCTTATCTCCCCTTCTTCTTTTTTATGTTTGTTACTCTCTTGTAACACCTCAATCTTCTGGCGCTCATATGACCTTATGCAGTTGCAACCGCCGTTCAACCTCTACCCAAAAAAAAAAAGAGTTTTACGGCTCTTAGCAACACAATAAGGTAATGTGTAGCTCTCCCTTCACTGCTACGGCGACATAGAGCTCACATCTCCTCCCTCCCATTCCTGCCTCCCTCTCCACTCCTTTCTTCACCTACCCCAACCCCTTCCCCCACTCTCCCCTCTTCCCACTCCCATCTCCCACTCTCATCTCATCACACTTCCCCTCCCCTTCCCTTCCCTGCCTCCACTCCCCCTCCTCCCCTTCCTCCCTTAGGGGTTTTCTTGCTCATGTGGAGAAAGAGGCTAAGGAAGTCTTTTATGAAAATGTTTGTCAAGAGGTGACAGATGATAAGCACTCTACAGATTCTGGCAGCTGTACAGATCAATGATGGAAAAGAAGCCAGCTTCGCAGATGATGTTCTTGTATACAGACAGGGTAAGGACTGGCAAGAAACAGCTAACGCGGTGCAACAGGAGATGGGTCGAATTGGGCAATGGTGTGTAGTCCACAACGGAAAACTTCGCCCCGACAAGACTTGTGTTCTGTGGTGCTCGCTAAACAATCACGCGGTGAGAGCACAGATGCCCACAGTCACCATGAACGACAGGATCCTGAAGCGTGAGCACTCACTGAGGTATCTAGGTATCACCTTTGACACATCACTCTCTGATTAAGATCACATAACCAGGATCATCATAAGAGCCCGAAAAGGTCTGACTGCTCTGAAAATCATGGCGTGCAGCAGAATGCCGCAGAGAATTTTAGCCATACTATACCAGCCTCTTGTGCTGTCTGTGATAAACTATGGCCTCGGTCTCCTCACCTTGTCAACGTCGCAGCTGAAACGCCTGGGAAGTATTCAGAACGAAGGTGTGCGGACTGTTCTCGGGTGCACACGAGACACATTCTGCAAAGCTATGCATTATCTCCTGGACTTCCCAGCCATGGTAGAACGTCACAAGATTGCTCTGATGAAAGTGTATTTGAGAGTCAGCGCCGATGTTCAGCACCCACTGCATGACAAAGTGAGAAGAACTGTACGCACGTGTCTGCTTAGAGGGACTGAATGGATGGATGAGGCAGCGATGACTTAAGCTAAATGGTGAGAAGTGCAAGACATCCGAAGGGGCAGCGCATGGGTCAGCGTCACTGACACACCTGTCCAGTATACTCGAGTGGTAGCAACCTTAGGCAGAGGATGTCGTGAGTGGCCAGAGAGAGCAGCCAATGGCGAGGTAGAGATGCTGATAGAGGGAAGCAGTGAACAGGGCGGTGTGCTCATCTTCACAGATGGTTCAGTACAGCGTAGTGTCAAATCTGGATGAGCTTTCAGCGCGCTCTCTCTCTCTTTCTCTCTCTCACACATACATCCCCAGGCCTAGGGTTCTGTTTCCTCCAACTACCCGTGTTGCCCTGTCTGACGGCCGGAGTGACAGAAGGAAAAAGTGTCCTCATCTCTCTCTCTCTCTCTCTCTCTCTCTCTCTCTCTCTCTCTCTCTCTCTCTCTCTGCACCCAATCCACACGACACGCACAAGAGCCTAGTGGCGCTCCCTCACGCTATGTTCCCATTCTCAAGACAGCCAAGTGTGAAGCGAAAGTGACACGGTTTCGGAGAGCCCTCAGAACAGAACAGACAGACAGACAGACAGACAGACAGACAGACAGACAAACAGGCAAACAGACAGACAGACAGACAGACAGACGGACGGACGGACGGACGGACAGACAGACAGACCGACAGACAGACAAACAGGGGGGGGGGAGAGAAAATGTTTGGGGTTTGAGTAAGCGGATGGAGGAAATAACTTGAGGATGGGAAGTGTGGGGGGAGGGGACACGGGTATAGTAAAACAATTTTAAGATTGAGAAATATAGTTCAGGACTAGCGGGTCTCACGCAAAATAGTTAAATAGATATCCTTTTAAAGTGAGAAAACCATCGATTATATTCTTTGATACTCACACCCATCCCAAATATCTGTGGTAATTTTACTTAAATACTTCCGTGGTTTCACCTCTGAATGCAAGTACAGCAATCTCAAGTCCATATTGAAAATTATAATAATATAACCTCGCCTGAGGAATCGAGATGGCCCAAATTTCAATTTTTTATATTTTTCCCCAGTCGTCTTCTTCTTCTATTCATAGAGAAAAAAAAACCCGTTACGTTTGCTTCTTAATGGTACTTCCGACACTTGCTAAGAGCAATGTTAGTTCAAAACTGGACGAACAACGAGGAAGGGTGAGGGTTAAGGGACCCAAGTAAAGCTAAGTTTCTCGTTGGATGATTTATTTTTACATAATGATTATATTCCTCGGTCACATAATTTTTCTACGTTGGACATACCGTGATGAATGGAAAGACACGCTTTGTCAGGAAAGTGTTAAAACTAAAACCACGATTCTGTCTGTCTGTCTGTCTGTCTGTCTATCTGTCTGTCTGTCTGTCTGCCTGCCTGCCTGTCTCTTTCCCTTTGTATTTCTATCCCTCCCCATTCTCGTTCTCTCCTCTCTCTCTCTCTCTCTGTTCTCTCTCTGTGTCTGTCTGCCTGCCTGCCTGTCTCTTTCCCTTTGTATTTCTATCCCTCCCCATTCTCGTTCTCTCCTCTCTCTCTCTCTCTCTGTTCTCTCTCTGTGTCTGTCTGCCTGCCTGCCTGTCTCTTTCCCTTTGTATTTCTATCC